GGGAGGCAGGGTCTGGCAGAAAGCTCAGGAAGGTTTGAGTACCAGACTGAGAGTCAGTGATTTTTTTTTTTTTTTAAGACATTCCAGTCAGGCTGCTTATAAGCAAACATACTAGCTTATTTTTAATTTTTATTTTATATTGGAGTGTAGTTAGCACTCCAACATTAACAATGTTTTGTTAGTTTCAGGCGTACAGCAAAGTGATCCAGTTATACACATATATATCTATTCTTTTTCAAATGCTTTTCCCATTTAGATTATTACAGGATATTGAGCGGAGTTCCCCGTGCTCTGCAGTAGGTCCTTGTTGGTTATCTGTTTTAACTACAGCAGTGTGTATGTCTGTATAGCAGTGTATATGTATGCATAGCTTATTTGTGATCAGAGCTACAAATGATGAAATGAAAAGTGAAAGTGAAAGTCGCTCCGTCGTGTCCAACTGTTTGCGACCCCATGGACTATATGGTCCTTGGAATTCTCCAGGCCAGAATACTGGAGTGGGTAGACTTTTCTTTCTCTAGGGGATCTTCCCAACCCAAAGATTGAACTGGGGTCTCCTGCATTGCTATCTGGGCTATCAGGGAAACCTGCATAAATGATGAAAAAAATCTCAAATTGGACCTTAATATTCAGTTCTTTTTAGAAAGATACTACACAGTATCAGTTCAGGTTGTTGAAACATCACTATTTTTTAAAATGTTTTATTTTGTATTGTGGTATACTCAATTAAGAAAGTTGTGATAGTTTCAGGTAAGCAGCAGAGAGACTCAGCCAGACATATACATATCTGCACTCTCCCCCACACTCCTCTCCATCCAGGCTGCCACGTAACATTGAGCGAAGTTCCACGTGCTGTGCAGTCGGTCCTCGTTGGTTAACCATTCTAAGTGTCAGGGTGTGCACATGTCCGTCCCAAACTCCCTGGCTGTCCCCCACCCCCATCCTCCCTGCCCGACCCTGGCAAGCTTCATTTCCTTCTCTAAGGCTGTGTGTGTCTGCTTTGTGAGCTCATCTGTATCATTTCTTTTTAGACTCCACATATAAAGGATGTCAAACAATATTTCTCCTTCTCTGACTCACCTCACTCAGTATGGCAGTCTCTAGGTCCGTCTCTGTTGCTGCGAATGGCATTATGTCATTCTTCTTAATGGCTGTGAAATATTTCATTGTGTATAAAGACATCACTATTTTTTTTTTTAATTTGGAAAATCATCCTTGCTAATGACAAAGGGATAGCAGAGAACTTAGTTTGACAGAGCAGTTGCGCGGAACACCCACAGGAGACCTGGTAGAATTGTGTGTGAGGCACGTCTCCGCTGTCTGGAGGGGCTCTTGTTCTGGGATCTCTGGAGCCCCGGCAGCCCAGGAGAGAATTCAGAGGGCACTGAGCTTCCATGGGGGAAAAGTCACATCCTTGTTTTGACCAAGTTCTAATAAATTTTGTTTTATTATGAATGACGTTTTCAGAAGACAATATTATTAGCAGTATTTGTTACCATTAGCAATCACAGCTCTTTCCATATTGTATTATAATTGTGGCAGATACCTGAAAACATCATGTGTTTTCATCACTGCTTTGCGTTTATAGATTGTTATTGTTCAGTCGCTCAGTTATGTCTGACTCTTTGCAATGCCATGAACGGCAGCACGCCAGGCCTCCCTGTCCTTCAACAACTCCCAGTTTACTCAAACCCATGTCCATCGAGTCGGTGGTGCCATCCAACCATCTCATTCTGTGTCGTCCCCTTCTCTTCCTGCCCTTAGGCTTTCCCAGCATCAGGGTCTTTTTCCAATGAGTCGGCTCTTTGTGTCAGGTGACCAAAGTATAGTAATAGCCAGTGCTTTATTGAGCAAGTATATCCATTGCTGTATCACAGATTTTAAAAACACGAGTCACTGTACTTCAGAATAATTGGTTTTCTGTTTAGTCACGTGCATTGTGTCTCCACGCATTAAAAACATTATTATGAGCAGGTTTCATCAGCTTCACTACCGACCCAGGAGGTCCGTGTCGCTTGAAGGTTAATAACCCCCAGCTAAGATCTTGTAGTTGTGGCATGCTACTTCCACCTGGTGGCAGCATATTCCTTAAAGGTTAAGTTGATAACATAGAAGAAACTTTTAAAATAACGTATTTGGATATGGTTTTCAAACCTTTTTGGCCACAGCCCACAGTAAAAATTAGGCTTTATATCATAACTCAGAACACTCATACTTAAGTTTCACAAAAGAAGACATAACTTTACCATGTGACACATTGATAGCTTTTATCCCATTTCTGTTTCCTTAAAATGCTGACTGCAACTCATTAAACTGTAATTCTGTGGGTAACACTGTGCTGTTTGACATCGTAGGAGACCATCTTTTATCATACTTCACGATTTATTACCCAGACCAGAGTTCACTTATTCCCACACATTTTCAGGGACATAATATTTACATTTAAAGTAACCTGACCCAGGAGGTCCGTGTCGCTTGAAGGTTAATAACCCCCAGCTAAGATCTTGTAGTTGTGGCATGCTACTTCCACCTGGTGGCAGCATATTCCTTAAAGGTTAAGTTGATAACATAGAAGAAACTTTTAAAATAACGTATTTGGATATGGTTTTCAAACCTTTTTGGCCACAGCCCACAGTAAAAATTAGGCTTTATATCATAACTCAGAACACTCATACTTAAGTTTCACAAAAGAAGACATAACTTTACCATGTGACACATTGATAGCTTTTATCCCATTTCTGTTTCCTTAAAATGCTGACTGCAACTCATTAAACTGTAATTCTGTGGGTAACACTGTGCTGTTTGACCTCGTAGGAGACCATCTTTTATCATACTTCACGATTTATTACCCAGACCAGAGTTCACTTATTCCCACACATTTTCAGGGACATAATATTTACATTTAAAGTAACCGTCAACAAATATGAGTGTATCTTTACACAGTATTTTAAAAATTGTTTATTATTGATATGTGCAGTGAAATGAACTGATTTTACTTGTATCACAAGACAGAACAATCCCATCACCACCACACAAGTCAGTCTCTCCCTAGGCAGTCACTGTGCTGATTATTTTGACCATGGATTTAATCTTGTATTTCTAGAACTTTATGTAAATGGAACCATACATTTACATGTATGCCTCATTTTAGCCTCACTTTGCTCAGTGCAGTGTTACTGAGATCATTCCATGTTGAGCAGGTCAGTGGTTTGAAATATACCACAATTTGTATTAATATATTCTCTCTGGGTTGTCTTCCATTTTGACTCTCAAAATTAAAACTTTCATGCGCATTTGTATACATGCCTCGGTGTGCACATGTTTGGTCTCCTGCAGGTAAATACCCGAGGTAAATTGCTGGCTCAGATGGTAAATAAATGTGTTTAACTATAGGAGCAGACAAACATTTGCCAAGGTGGTTGATCCATTCTCCGCTTCCACCAGCAGTGTGTGAGTGTGGGTCGCTCCCGTCCTTGACTTACGTGTGATGTGCGTCAGTCTTTATCACGCTGTCTCTGTGTTGGGTGTGTAGTTGTGTCACTTAGTAGTGAGTGTTAATTTGCATTTACTTGATGAATGATAATGTTGAACACTTTTCCACGTGCTTATTCACCAGTTGTTTATTTTTGTCATGGAGTGTCTGTTCAAACTTGAGTTGTTTTTTTAACATCAATTTGTAGGAGTAGTTTTTACATATTTTGGGCACCAGTCCTTTATCTCATTCATATGCATTTATGAATATTTTCTCCCAGTCTGTGGCATACATATCTATTTTATTAATGGTGTCATTTGATGAGCCAAAGTTTTTTAATTTTGATCAAGTCCAAGGTAGTGATTTTTTCTTTTATATTTAATACTTTCTGGGTCTTGTCTAAGAAATCTTTTCCTACTCCAAGGTTGGGAAGATAGATTTTTTTTTTTTTTTATGTTTATATCTGTGATTCATCTCAAATCAGTTTCTATTTACGGTGTGAGGTAGGTATCAAGTCTCATTTTTTTTTTCCATATTATGTCTCATAGTCTCACTATTTGCTGAAAATTTTTTTTTCACCGTTGAATTATAACACAGAATTTAAAAAAAAAAACAAAACCTGTTTTGCCAAAGGGCTACAAAATTGAATTCTCCTGCTGGCCATAAACCAATCAACAATACTTTTCTAAGTTAGTTTAGTTCATCCATTTATCTTGAGATTCTCAAGTTACTTTATTCACATAGTGTGAGGTTTTATGAAGCTACATCATTTTACAGGATCTGTAGCCATGCCAGAGAGCTTCTGGCTCTGTGGCTTTTTAAATTAGATTGAAATTAGGTAAAATTAAAAATTCAGCTTCTCAGTCTCAAAAGCCACATTTCAAATGCTCAGTAACACATGAGGCTATTTTCTTCCCTATTTACCAGTGCAGATAGAGATGTTTTCATTTCTTCCACAGTACTAGATAGCACTAGCCTATAGAAAAGAAAAGACTGGTTTTATGCAGTTTTGAGGCATAATTTAGTGAAACTTATTTAGTTTTGATGCTGTCATTCAGCATCTGCCTTGCTTGTTTTCATCCGTCTATGCTTCTGTTTCTATTCCAACAGTCCTTTTGTTGGCCTGAAAATGCAGTTGCTTCTGTCTGCTCTCTCCCACCTGGAAAAAAGAATCTCCCTGTGTGTGTCTGCCGGACTCCTTTTCTGCAGCCTACCTGGCGCTGACCTTTTTAACCCTTCTCAGTGTTACTGCTGAATTTCTGGGCATCCTCCGTCAAGGTACAGTGCAGAGATAGGTATTTTCTCTTTCCTGTCCTAATTAAAATTAAATTTCTCCCTGGCATTTCTATAATAAATATTAAAATTCCAAAAAGCAACAAGTTATGAGTTTTATCATACCCCATATTAACGTCTCTGTCCAGCAGTGAACTTTGCTGCCATTTCATCATGAGCAACCACGTAGGAATTTGTGAGCTTTTCTCTCATTGTTCACTGGGTGTGAGCTAAGTCTTTCATTAATGTCTTTCAGTGTGGGAACTTTGCTGTCCTGGTGGATCTTCATGTATTGCCGCAAGGTTCAAGCAAAGATACTAGCTGGTTTTCTGAACAGAAAAAAGAGGTACCAGGAAACTTTTCATTATTTTTTTAAATTGAAATGTCGTTGATTTACCATGTTTCAGGTGTACAACAAGTGATTCAGTTATACACACACACACGTATGTTCTTTTCAGATTCTTTTCCATTATAGATTATTACTTGATATTGAATATAGTTAGTTCGCTGTGCTATACAGTAGGTCCTTAAAACTTTTCGCTATATTAAATGCAAGGAGCTGCTCTTAAAAGGAACATTAGCTTTTTTTCCAGCTCTCATTTTCGTTAATGGACAGTAAATCTTGAGTGCTATTTAATCCTTGAGGAAGAATTGTGTTTCCCACAACAGACACATGCCTGCTTTTTCTGTTGTTGTTCCTTCAGAAACTGAGACATCCATCTATTTCATATATTTCAGTTGCCATTCTAGTATTTAAACCAGAAATTCTCCACCTCTTTGTTTGAAGGGAAAGGTTCTTTGTATTTAAAAAAAAAAAATGAAGAAGTTAAAGTGACTTTTCCAGGTAAGCAGGGATTGTAACCCTCACTGGTTGTAACGGATGGGCCAAGCCCCTGGAGCAGGAGTGGGGCTGACACAGGCTGGTTTCTCTCACCTGTCTGGGATCTTCTGTACCACATGGTCCTTTGGCAGAAGTATCGGGATGGCTGGCAACAGCCCTCCTCTTACAGCGGCCAGTCGCTAAGCAGGTGGTCGGTCAGTAAAGCAAATGGTTGGATGACAGGATTGTGGTGTTAGACCGCAGCCGCCTCCTCTGTGGATGAAGGCTTCTCCCAGACCCTGGCTGGCTGAGTCACTCTCAGCTCTCAGTTTCTGAGGTCCCACCAAGTGCTGCTGTGGCAAAGGCAAGAAGGTGCCCCAGCTCTCATCACATGCATGGCTTCCTTCTCCAGACCCCTCCTTATGAGCGAGCCGGATAGTGAGCCTGTGACTTTTACATAACTTTCCAAATGTAACAGCCCTTGGTATCATCCATGATATTTGTTGGTCCCAATAACTTTTTAGAGCTAGAAATAAATTTTATTACAAGGTGATATATGGAGAAAAATCTGGTGATGGTGGTACTTTTTAGTGCCACTTTTTTACCCTTTACTGTGATAACTGTTTTCAGTCAGCTTTTGAAGATAACTAGAAATCTCCCAAAAGAAAATTTATAAGTAATATATTTTCAGTCAAAGGATAATACTATTAGGACTTTGTTGTCTTAATTTTGCTAAGGATACCCAGTGACCTGAAACTGGGAGCAGAAAGGCACAGGGTTCTGTGTGATGGGATTTATCACGCTAGTGGCATGAGATGTTGACATTATCATTCAGGTAAATAGCCCTGGACCATGCTCTGCAGGACTTCATGTTTGATAGGCCATTGCCTGCTCCTCCAGTCCACCTTCATGTCATTCCAACCTTTGGCTTCTCAACATATGTCCCCATGATTCAAAACAGTTAATTCATCCCCCCAGAGTGACCAATATGCACCTGCGGGGACCTCACCCAAGAAGTTTAACTTACATTAGCAGCATCCTAGAATCCACCATTCCAGGCCCAGATTTTCCTCCATTCTCTCCCAACTCTGCCGCCTCAGCTTTAGACCTTTTGTGTGGATATGCTGTCAGTTTTGCCAAGAGTCAGTTGATTTGGAAGGCTTTACAACAAATCTGTGAGTACGTGACTCACTTCCCAGCCAAAGCGTGAGCCCAGACTTTTCCAGGGTGCCACACGCAGCTGTGCTGCCCTGCCTCTGCCGCTGTCGGGCCGCAGGGCGTGCCTTAGCGAAGGGACTCTGCGCGCGCTGGGCCTGCAGGGCTCCGCTGTGGGCCGTGAGCGGGCTCTCCCCGCAAAGCCAGGGAGACGCTCTGTGGCCTCTACCTCACGCTGCCTCTTCAAAGTAACGCTGACGTTAACATGGATCTGGGGTAATGTGTGTGTGTTTAAGAAAAGAGAAAGGCTAGTTGAGGATATGACTTAACCTATGTTCAGTGTCCCAGGACTTTTATCTTTTTTAAATCATCAGATCATCTCAAGATTGGGATTTCATGAGCAATCAGTGTGATTGCATTTTAACAGTCACTTTGAGTAGTGAAAGGCTTAAGAATATCCTGTTCCTTTTCAGAAAAAGGAACTCATCACATGTGTTAAACATGTGTTTATTCTGAGTCCAGCCTGAGTGGTCCTTGTACCCAAACAGTTGAACTCAGACTGTTCCCCTTGTAAACCTGGGAGGCACATGTGAACCCCTGGTAGCCTGGAGATGGCGGGTTCAGCTCTGTCTTGCTTACTGATTGGTCTTCCTGCTGCCCCTCGTGTTTAGATGGGAATTTGTCTTTCCTTGTCTTGCCCTGGTTCTGAAGAGAACAGTGCTTCGCCAAGTGTGCTGTGGTCAGTGACTAGGGGACCTCGATACAACACACACAATCCACCTTCCGTTTGTCAAACCTGACTCATGGAAGGAAAACCCCGTAACTGCAGGGAGAGAGTTTGTGTATGTGGGCCTTGGCTTTATTTTTGTCCTCCTATTTTTAGTTCTGGCCTTATAGGGCATTTATGGCCAAATTTTAACAATCCTTGTTTCCATGTATGTCTTTCACATATTTTCTAGCTCAGTCATCATTGAACCCTGCATATGAAGCAAAATTCTTTAATTGTTAAAACAACAGTATGAGCAAGGCTGCCTTTCTGTTGCACGAACAATGCCAAAACCTTCAACTGTAAATGAATACCTCTGTATTCCACAAGGCACTGCAACTTTGAGATGCAAAATGAGATCAGGAAGGAGGAGACCAGAGTTTGTATTTTACTAAGAAACTCATGTTTGTAAATTAAGTCAACTGTTTTCTATACTGTTTGAGGAGTACGTGTATTTGCAACCAAAGAAAAGCTTGGCTCTCGTTGCCCTTCAACGCAGCTTACAGCTCTGTCCTCGTTTTAATTTATGAAGATTCTAAGAGATCAACCTGAGATGGCATTGTGAGAAACCAGTGAAACAGGTTTTAGGTGACCTGGAAACTCTGAACCTTCTGCAGAGTCCTTGGGAACTGAACCAGAATTATCCATCCTTACACACCAGTTCTCAATCTGGGTTAAGAAATTTAGATTTGGGAGCAATTTTATTTTCCCTTTCCCCACATCAGATTACATTTTTCTGATATTATAGCTAATGTAAGCAGTGTCATCCCATTGTACAGTTAGGCTTTAAGTTTTATTTTTCTTTTTTATAAGTAACACTGATATGTTAAAAACAGTACAAATTTGGGATGTTGACATTCAATTAAAATCATGTTTTTCTGTTGCCTATAAATATTAATTTACATTTGAGCAATATAAGAAGTTAAATTATTTTTTACTGTGAATAGGTGAATAGAGAACAGTTTTCACAGAAGCTTATACAATATCATCAGTAAGCCTATGGAAGAAAATCAGACTCTTGATTTCCAGTTCTCTGTTCAGCTTACCATCAGTGCTGTTGCTTTTCAGTAGATTTGTAAACCCTAGAAACTAATGAATTATGGTGGTTAGATACTAAAGTTTTTTTGAACCAAGTTTTAAAAGTAGGAAATTTTTGTGTAAAAATCAGTCTCTAGTTCCTCTTAAACCAGAAAATCTGGTGACACTGTGCCGTGTGTCCCAGCGTGAAACCTCAGGGTGCTGCCCCTTCTGACTGGCTGGGGTTTCCCGCTGACTGTGCCCTGACTCTTTGACTGCTCCCAGTCTGTAGTCCCTGGCAAGTGGGCCCGTCTCTGGGGCTTCCGCTTGTAGCCAGAGCTGGCTCTGCTCTGTCTTCTACTTGTCATAATCCCACTGGTTGAAATTTACATGAAAACAGCCTTTCCCTCTCTGATTTTGTCACCTCCTTGCCCTGATTTTTACATTGGTGTTTTTATCTTCCTTTTAGAAATATGAAACTGAGGCAGAGAGAAGTGAAGAGAGGCAAAATATATTTCTTAGATCACAGAGTAAGCCAGCATCATGATTTCAAGCAAAGCTTAGTGGCTAATTTAAATCTGCAGCATTACCCATGAACACATATAAGTGCCTTTATTCATAGCTAAATTAAAAAGCAAACAAAATGAAATGTTCGATTTTGGCTTTTTCATATGCATGATACTGACTTTTTTTGCACTGCATTAAATTAGAAAATTATATGTAATTTTTTTATTTACTTTAGGAAGTCTGTTTACTGTTAAAAGAAACCATTGATTCAAGAGTGAAGGAGTACTTACAAGTTCGTAAACAGCACAGGCCATCAGATACAGAATTCACAAGATCCAATCCCTTGTCCTTAAAAGGTAGGCATGAACTACTTTGATTTTGGATAAAATTTCTGCTTTGTAGAGATGGCAATTATGTTTGACTCTGACTGTCAGAGTCAGAGTTGTGTTTTTGTGTAGTGATACATTTTAAAAATATAGCCTAATGAAGATGCTTTGTTTGGGTAAAGAAAATTAACCAAAAAGCCCTAAAGGGCTTTTAATGGTAGGCAAAATATATATAAATAGAAAACACAACATTCCTAAGGAAGCTATAAATTCTTTAAAGGATTTTTTTTTTGACAAGTAATACTTGATTTGGGACTTTATGCTTTTCTAAATGCTTTCATATATGTCACTATCTCACAGGTTCTCAGCTGGGGGTGGTTCTGTCCCAGGGGACATTTGGTAATGTCTGTGACAGTCTGGATTGCCATAACTGGGGTGGAAGCCATGGTCGAGAGCTGTTGGCCCCTGGTGGGTAGGGGCCAGGAATGCCACTCAATATCCTACAGTGCAAAGGGCAGTCCCCCCAACCAGGCAGTGTCCCCCAAATGCCAAGTGCACTGAAGCTGGAATATCCCAACCCCCTACCCTAATACCCTGTTACCCCGAGAATGGTAACATCTTTGAGTTATGGGTGAAGAAGCAGAGGATTGTGAGGTTAAGGGGGTTGCCTGAATAAAATGTCATCTTCTTGAGGACCAAGATCATCTCCTGTATCTGGCATCTTCCCTTCCCCTCTCCTCACCCACGACACTTAGGCCATGCCTGATGCAGAGATTTGGGGATATGTTCAATGAAGGGCTTCCCTGGTGACTCAGACGGTAAAGTGTCTGCCTGCAATGCGGGAGACCTGGGTTCGATCCCTGGGTCAGGAAGATGTCCTGGAGGAGGAAATGGCACCCCACTCCAGTACTCTTGCCTGGAAAATCCCATGGACGGAGGAGCCTGGTAGGCTGCAGTCCATGGGGTTGCAAAGAGTTGGACACGACTGAGCGACTTCACTTTGACCTTTTCACTTTCAATGGAGGAGGACTTGGGTGACAAGTGGCAGAGCCTGACCCCTCATTCCAGTGTTCTCTCCACTCTGTCATCGCTGTGTTTTTTAAACTTTTTAAGTATTTCATGGCACTCTGTTGCACAAATACAGTCAACCCGTGTTAATCCTCAGAGGTCAGTACTGCATTGCAGTGAACTAGATTATGCTAATGCAATAGTTCTTTAGGGAAAGGACGGTTAACGTCCTCCCCTTTAAAGGCAGACTCAGTCTGCACCGTGTACTTGGGTACAGCTGGTAAGGAGGCAGATAGAGTTGACTCAACACAGAGCCTCAAACAAATAGAATTTTCAGTCCAAACACTATTGTATTAGATGACGCTTTGTGGCATTTTGCTTAGGAACAGTAGAATTCTTGGGAAAAGCTGCAGCAGACGTGGTGAGTGGCCCTTTGTAACTGAGACAGAAGGAAAAGGATCAGGGAGAGTTCTGAGAGCCCAGCTCCACTGTGCTCATGGCTTGGCCAGCACCGGTTCTCAGGTGGCCTCTGCCCTGGTCGCCTCTCCTCCTCAGGGAAGCGCTAACTGCTCACTCTCCCAGCCTCTCCCCCAGACGGGGAACTCACGGTGTTCTGACCTCAAGATGAAACCCAAAGCCTTTCTTGGGCTCGTGGGGGCAAGATGTTTGCTTTAAACCGGAAAGGTGATCTTACTCTGCACACAATTTTGTAACCTGTATTTTTCCACCTAATGTGATGTAAAAATCCTTGATTCACTTTTGGCTGTGCCGAGTCCCAGGTGTTGTGTGGGCTTTCCCCTAGTGGCCGCTGGGCTCCCCTCTGGAGCACCGCGCAGGCCTCACTGCGGAGCCTCTCCCGCTGCGGAGTGCCCAGACCCAGTAGCTGCAGGCCCCATGCTCCAGCACACACACAGGCTTGGTAGGCGTGGCGTACTGGGCGTGCTTGCTCTGAGACACGTGGGATCCTCCTGGAGCAGGGTTGGACCCGTGTCTCTTGCGTTGGCGGGTGGATGCTTTAGCACTGAGCCACCAGGGAAGCCCCTATAGAAGTCCTTTAAAACACGTGTGTCACCATTTTTTAAAACTTAATAGATAAGAAGTGGTGTCACATTCTCGTTTTGGTTTGCATTTCTTTAATAATTAGTGATACTGACCATCTTTACATGTATTTATTAACTATTTGTGTATCTTTGGAGAACTGTCTGTTGGCCCATTTTTTAATTAGGTTGTTGTAGGAGTTCTTTATATTTTGTGCATATTAATCTCTTATCAGATATGATTTGCAAATATTTTCTCCCATTCTGAGAGAAATGGAGAAAGCAAAGCCTTTTCACCATCTTTATAATATCCTTTGACACAAAAACATTTTTAATTTTAATGTAACCAGTTGATGTCACATCCGTGAAATCACTGCTAGATTCAGTGTCATGGAGATTTCCCCTGTTTTTTTCTTCTAAAAGTTTTATAGACTGCTCTTAAATTAGGCCTTTGATTCATTTTGAGTTAATCTTTTATATGGTTTAAGTTCAGGATCTGACTTTGTTCTTTAACTATCCAGTTTTCCCAGTGCCATTTGTTGAAAAACTTGTCCTTTGTCCCACTGGGTGGCCTTTGCATCATTATTGAAAATCATTTGACCACAGTTATAAGACTTTATTTCTGGGCTCTCTCTTCTATTCCTTTGGTCTGTATGTCTGTCTTTATGCCAGTACCACACTGCTTTGATTACCATAGCTTTGTAGTAAGTTTTGAAATTAAAAAATGTGACTCTTCCAACTTTGTTACCATTTTTCAAGGTTTGTTTTGGTCGCTTGAGGTCCACATCACTATTTTTAATAACTACATAGAAGTCCATCAAGTGTCCACAGTCTAATTTGTCATTGGGACTTTTAGGTTGGATCTACTACCTTTGCTGTTGTAAGCAGTGGTACAGTGGACATCCTGATGATCTAGATATTTGCACACTTCAGTTTCTCTATAATATCTGTCTGTTTGTTTATTTGACTGTGTCAGGTCTCAGCTGCAGCCTGAAGCGTCTCAGCTGCAGCCTGAAGCGTCTCCGCTGCATCGTGTGCAGTTTTTCCTGGTGGTGCACAGACTCCAGTTGTGCTGTGTGGGCTCAGTAGTTGGACTTAGCTGCTCCTTGGCATGTGGGGTCTTAGTTCCCCAACCAGGGCTAGAGCCCACGCCCCTGCATTGTGAGGGTTCTTAACTACTGCACCACCAGGGAAATCCTAATATTTCTGTTTCATGTTCATACTTGTATTGGTTTGTAAGAGTTCATTAATTAAGGATATTCATACTTTGTGTGATATATATATATATATATATATATTGCAAGTAATTTGCCTCTGGCTTGGTTTATTTAGCATACAACTACAAACACGAAACCTCGTTTTGCCTTCTGGAGCCTCTGAAGTGCACTTGTGGGATGAATGCCAGGCTTCCCTGTCGGGGATTAGTCGTGTGGTTGATGGCTGGAGGGAGGCAGGGGCTTCTGATGCAACAGTGTGCTGCTCACTCTTGGGTGGAAAGGCTGTGTGAAGTATTGGAAAGTCACCTCAGCGTGACAGCCCATCTTCCTTCTTTCTGCTTCTGGGGACAGATGACCTCCAAGCATGCCTTCTGTAGCCCCCACCTTAGCTGGACCCCTCTCTGCTGCCTCCGGCCAGTCCTCGGCCCCGCCTCGCTGGACACTGGACGCCGGCAGCAGCCCCCTTGCTGGTGCCCCTGCCTCCGCCCCGGCTGATGCGCCCCCTGCGGTCAGCACTCGAGTTAGGGTAAGGCTTTCACGTTATAGCCTCGTCTTGCTTACAAAGCCCTCCAGGATTTGCCCTGGGCTCCAGGGTGAAGGCCGGCACTCTGAGGTGACCGCCTCTCCAGCCTCATCTCGTGCCGCCCATTCCTTCTTTCATGCTGCAGCACAGCAACCTGACCCCTCCCTGGCACTCCTCTGGGGGCCTGTGCCCGAGCTGGTGCCGGCCCTCCCTGCCCCTCTGCCTCCTTCCGCTCTCCCCGCCGTGGGGAAGCGCATCCTTGTCCGCAGTCCCCAGGTGCCAGGCCCGCGAGCACCCTGTGCTTTGGTTCACACTATTTGATTCATGTTCATCTCTGCAAATGGGTCAGTCACCTGAAAACAGGTTCTGCCTCTTTTAGGATCCAAAGCACATTTTCTGGTTGTTAAGAACTGTTTGTCCAGGTGACGAGTTACATGTATGGATATAGATTTCCTCTTCCCAGGAAGGCCAAGCCTGCCGTAACTCACTTCTCCTGCCCTGTCTTCTCCTGCGGCTCCCTTTTCTATTTCCTGCAAACCTCTGTGCCTTTACATTTTCAGGTTTCTCTTTTGTCCAGAAAGCTCCTGTTATGCAGCTTTTAAGACCTGACTCAAATACTCCTCCAAAGTCTCCCTCAGTTTCCTGTCCTTGCTCACAGCACTTTATAACGTTGGCCACTGTATTATGACTGTGATGTAATCATTTTACCTGTGATTTCATTTCTCCCTGTCTTTGGTGGTAAAAGTTGAGGGGTTGTCACCCCACGGCCTCTTTTTTTTTTTCCTTCAGATTTCCATGCTGCTTAACTCGAGAGCAGAAACAGATAACTCTGCTTTACCTCATTGCAAACTGTTCATTTCTAAAAGGTCAGAGTTCTGTCCACTCATCTCCCCAAGGCTGCCTTCCACAGGGGGCCAAGGCTCATCATCTCCTGGGCCAGGTTTGCCTGCCAGGACGAGGTGGGCACACACGGCGATGCGCCCATCCAGGCTGTTCATCGTCAGCATCACTCGGCTGCTCCCGAGGCTCGCCTTAAATGCCCCTATTCAGAAGCACTTTCAAAGCCCCGAGCCATAAGGAGAGCCTTGCCTGTTCCCTCCTCAGTGTCCATCCTGTGTCTCGTGCGCCCTGAAAACAGAGTTGCTCTTACTGCCTTGGTGGCTTGGGTGAAAGTCGTGTGGTTTTTGCTTTTGTGTAAATTGGCTGTCTTCTCTCATGCGCATGAGTTCCTTGCCTTTCTTATTT